TAAAAAGGAGAAACTGGAACATATATTCTCTGCGAGTGTCCTACCCTTAGTAGACTGCGGAATAGCCCCCTGGGAGCAGGCTTTCTGCCTAATCTGGCATCTGCTGCCAAGATGAGGTACAATAAGGTGTTCCAGATTGTCAAGAGGACTGCGATGTTCTTCAACATTGCTGCTGATACTCAGTGAATAGTTGTCTAATATGGTCGTAGTTTATCTGGTAACGCTATGCACCTTAATGGTATATGCGAAGCCACTCAGTGGCTATCCAGCCTACCTAACTTAACCTGGTTTAGCATCTAAAAACGAGCTACGTTCTCTGATGCGCACAAATCTTCCAATGATAAAAAACACTTTATATTTATAATAAGAACTATTCCAGCGACTCATTTAAAATAAAATTGTTTTTTTTTTTGCGCTTGATAAAAGACAACCGCATCGAATTTTGTTTAGATAAACACAATTCTTTCACCTATCTTTGCTTTACTAAAACACTGTGCGACTATTGTAGTATACTTAGTATGATACTATGTACAATGAATTTGTGGTAGAGCAAAACTTCTCTGTGGAAATTCACCACCTTAAATTTTTTAAAAGCGAGAGGACAGAGCGGCGCAAAATTAAAAGAACTAGTATCGCCCAGTTGTTGAAATTCGACCACTTCGCTTTTTTATACACATTTTCATTTTGCTTGTCATCAATATAGAGGCAATAATGCTTCATATTGATGATGATTTTGAAGTGTATTAGATAGAATTCGAAAGTATGTGTAATAATCTATGGCCCGCGAACCTGACCAACGTTGTTAGATTGATATAAATATGTATGTACATCCTGTTAAATAATGTAATAATTCCAAGCTAATCTTTTTTTTATCCAAACTAAAGCGCAGCATACATATGCATAAGAGTTCGTTAAAAAATAAAATCATTTCCAGAAAGGCCCGCTTAAATTAAATTGGAAAACATCATAGATATGACAGCATGTTGTCCATTTCTGGCAGGTTTATTTCTCCTTATGTAACTAATATATATTCTGAGTTTGAAGCAAATCGGGCCGACAATACGATTTTTAGCATAGCTCGACCCCAGCGCCACCTATCGGAAAACTTAAAACTTTGTGCACTTCGCCTTCTAAACACCTTTCTAACAAAGCAACCATTCTAATCGGTTAAGAAACATAGGAGAAAATTGTTCCCAATTGATTCATGCTTGCCTATTTATATATTGATCTAAACAACTTAGCGATTGCGAAATGTTATTTATTTCTGGTACACGTTAATACCTAATAACAAGTGCGAGATTCCCACGGGGCCCGGATTTCCTCTCTACGGCTCTGTGTACAATTAAACCATAGGATGGAACAAAGAACTCTTTTCCATTGCATAATACTTTAGCAAATATAAATATGCGGATTTCTGAAGTAATACAAAGTTGAAGCACAGATATATTTAAAGCAAAATTCATGATGCACCTTTCTAAAATTTTATTGATTAATTCTTATATTTCTTATTAGAATTGAGTTGAAATTTTAGAGTTTATGTGAAAATTATAAACAAATTTTCTGTCTAAGAATGTGGTAGGTTTTAAGCCTTTTGTGATAGATGTGGTAGAAACCCAAATTTTAAGAAATATGTGGTAGAGGTTTGCACACTGTTCCCAACCTACTTTACTTGATGCTCATTCGACAAGCACATTACTTATATGTATGTACATAAATATGCAGCAATTAAACTTAACAGCGGGCACCCCTCGGCAGGAATGGCAAACCTTCGAGTGAACTTCTGTCATGAAAAAGTTCCTTGGTCTAAGTACTGACCTGAATCAGAAAAAAATTGGCAGGCAACGGAATTGTGCCCGTCTCATACTTAGAAAAAGTCAAAAACGTTTACTTATGTATGTACATTAGACTGTACCAGAAAAAATTTCGCCGTACACCCCTGAGTCGAAAGTATTTTCGCAAGACAATTTCGAAAAAAAAAATAAAATTTTGCCGAACTTTGGGGTCGCTTTTTTATATTTTTCGACATATCTTCGATATTTGCAGTCGGATCTTACAGTATGCAATATATTGATTTTCTTGTCTCGCTAATGTAATTTATTTCCCAAATTCATTGATCTTAAATTGCCCGTTCTAGTACTTACCCACCAGATCTCAGTTCCTACCACCCTAATTTTTTTATTTGCTTGAAAGGTGGTACGATGGAAAAACGGAATACCCAACAAGTCTTCGATTAGGGCACGGCCGTGAAAATAGAAAGTACAAAATACTATAATACCAAAGGGAAATAAGCAACCTGGTGAACCCTCGTCCTTTCGGCCAATATGCATACAG